ATATGTATATGTATATGCATATGTATATATATATATGTAAACATAAATGATAATTTAATTAAATTTCTTTTTTGCTTTGAAAGCCATCATGGGCCAATATCGCTAAAAAAAAACAAAAAAACCCCACAATTTCACAACTTGTTCACAATATACTGAATTTTCACACAAGGTGAAAACATTGGAATATATATATTTTTAAAAAGTGGAAGAACAACAAATCAGCCCCCCACCACTTCAAGCATATCTGCCGGCTGTCGTGCAAATCCGGGCACATACCACTACTTTAGAGCACAACTTTAGACCAAAGATTTCCGCTAAAGCATTGTATTACAATTATCTTCTTCTGATTCTGAATAAATATTTTCAGACGATCCACCTCTATTTTTATTCAAAAAGAACAACTTAGACGAGGGCGCTCTTATTCTTTTTTCCCTAAAAATGACAAAACACAGGGTAACAGCAAAAAGTAATAATAGAACGACCACTCCAATGCTGACACCAATAGGCAGGCTTCTATTGTTTGAGATATCTGAGTTGCTATTACTGAAAATGCTTGCAGCCGTTGGTTCACTTGCCGGGCTTTGCAGTTCCTGTTAAGAGAATATGTACGATGTTTCAAGATTTTTTTTTATATATTTAAGAACATAGATATGATAGGTCTGATTTGTATTCGTTTATTTATTTTATTGTTATTAGATTAAATACACCAAACCACAATAAGTCGTAAGATAATGAAAAGAAATATACAATATTCAAGGAATAAATTAACTATATATTCTTCCTCCAAAATTTCAAACTTTGGCTCTCATATTAGTCTTACTAAATACATACCAGGCTCGAAGCGAACCACATCACATATATGCCAGTTACAAGCCCAGCCCGCAAGACCCCTTCCCCCATCTCCACACACACACACACACACACACACACACACCCACCCACACACACCCACACACACACACACACATACACACAAACACCCACAATATGCCTATCCATGACTTGAAGGTGCTGCATAGGCAAATTAATAGGTTAAAAAACATTAATAAGTATCACGTATAACGTAAATAATTTGCAATAGATAATTAAGTAGCGTAAACTAATGTCAATCTGGCAGTTTGTATCTCAAACAAACATCATGTTTGGATCAAATTTTACCTCTACACTAAGTAGAATGCTTCTGCTGCTGACAGCCGACGAGGGCGTGCTTTTAACTGTCCCATCCGGGTAGATGAACATAGCTGTGATTTTACAGTAAATCTATAAAAGAAGGTAGATCATGACCTGATTTTTTAAAAAAGCCTAAAATATGTAGTAATAATAATAAATTTGCTGTTATAGAGCGCTCTACACTAAACGTCTGAGGGCGCATAACATCCTTCATTATTTGGTTAATATATCGGTACAATTAGACAAAAAAACATTGAAGAAGAATTATAATATCAGCATTTTTAATTGTTTTTTCTTCAATGTTTCTGGTAAGGCTAACTTTTGTCATGTGACTAATACCAGTTCGAGATCGCCGAATTGTAATTATTGTTTATATTATATAAAACGTTTGTTGCTTTATTCTACCTGTACCAAATATTTTCGGGATTGTTTTAAAATATGTTTACTAATATAGTGTATTCACAAATCCTAGATGAGATATTATTGATGTGTATGCATAATGGTAAAGAGCAATTGTTATTTTTGTTAATTATGAGAAACAAATTCTTATTTTTATTGTATCCCAATACAAAATATGCTAGAAATTGAATTAATTCCAGTAAACCGGTATATAATAGATACAGTAATCGTCTTACCAGAAGGTGGTTCACATCAATCATTTCACCAGGCAGTGTTGCATTCCTTGATTCAAATAACGTTTCTTGGTGAAGCTCATCCTTCTCAGATGACCAAATCACATCGAACGAGACGTTTTGATGGTCGGGATACTCGAACACACACAGCAGATAAAACCCACTATACGTCTCCTCTAAATACAACTGCGGCTGCTTATCAATTTTCGGAGGCGGGGCTTTTAAACAGAAATTATAATTATCAAAATACTATGCTTCATATTTCCCAATTTATGGGCCATCTAGGGTGAAGATTTAAATACTATTTTTATAAATTTTACCACCTAATTAATACTGATTTAACCGAAGGTCCACTGATTAATCTTAAATAAGATAGTATACATACTCCAAGTATTCAAATGCACGCCATCGTATCGGGATTCTATATTTCGACATTAATTATATCAAATACTAATTTCTGAATATAATTGGGGATACATCAGAGCGTAACTGCTGCTACATATGTTACCTAAGATCAATGTTTTCGTTTAATGATTATTATTATACAATCTGGACATAATTTTCTGAAGTGACACATATCGTAACATTACCAAAACACTTCGGAGTGTATCCATTCAGAGAAGTTGTTCCCGATGGGCAAGGTGATTCTTCCCCTAAATCAAGATAAAATAATAGTATAGCTTATATTTTATTAAATTATTATTTGGTAATTCATTTTTCTTTTTCATACTGGGTGTCCTGCTCAGTAGATATCTGCTGTTTTCCCAACATGGCCCAGTTTTGCTTTAATAACTAAGTCTCCTAATGATATTTATGGAGTGGAGTTAAATTAGTCGTGAAAAGAAATTCTGATTTTACAGGAATTGAACCCAATACCCTGGTATAAGAAGGCAAGCATTTTAACAACCAAGTTATTCAACTCCACTGTTCATAACATATCTTGTAATTTTTACTTGATTGATATAATAATGAATTAAACTCCATTTTGAGTAAACTTATTGTCTCCACCGTTAGGTATACTTAGCTATGTGCAAAAAGAAAATATCGGGAAAACAGTGAACAAGAAAAGACTGGCTATACATAATAAATTATTTTATTGATTATGTCAACTAAATCATTTATTTTCCACTAAATTATGTATTTAAAAAAAATATTTTAAGAAAGGAATTTTGTTTAAAAAAAAAGAAGCAGAAAACGCAATATCATACAACTTAACTTCTTGTTGGAGTAGTTCAACTACTGATTCAGGAAGCCAATTTTAGGTCAACAGTAGCATCGAACATAATTTATTTTAACGGCTTTAAGACTGCATATTTGGGTTTTTTTTCACAAAATTATGAAACTTTTATGTAAATTGATGGTTCCTCGGTAAAAACAAAAGATTAACATTCATTAATTATTAATTTAGATAGATTGTAGAAGGTCATTTAATTGAATAATGAAGGTATATGGTAATTGAAATTGTCAGATTATTGTTTACCAGATTCACTTACCAATGCAATAACCCTCTTCACATGTACGGGTAGCATGAAACTGGTAAACAAAGAAATCGGAACATTTTCTAATTGTAACGATTGTCTTGTATTCGCAACACTTTGTGACTCCGTCTTTACTGGCACTTGCACATGCTTGACGCTCTACGTTCTGCCCAGGCGTAGTTGGATGTTTACCTGTAATAATAATAAGCACAAAGTTGTAGGCGAGCGAGACAGTACTGTCATTATATTAGAGATCACAGTATGTGCATTTCCATGGTACTCTATGTAATACCGTATAATATTGGATATCATCTGGATTTGAACTCAAGACCTTGTGACTCCTATTAGGCTTTCTACCAACTGACTAAACAATGTATAATATCTAAATAGTATAAGAGTTTGTTGGTGGCTGTTTTACTTTTTCTGTAAGGTAGGCCTATCAAATTTTTTGAGTGTGACGCACACATAGCAGCAACATTATCTTTCATAAATTGCTGAACGTAAAAATGTCACGTCTATAATTTTAACTTTCATTCAAAACAATACTAAGCATGGTTGAGACTAACCATTTAACCATATCGGAAACTTTACGCCACATGTGTTGACAGTGGTACACTTTTCACTCATCTGGTCTCCACCAGCACCTCTGAACCGATACCAAGTGTCGGAGTTAAATCCTGTGTCACATGAACTGTTGATTATTTCTGAGTTACCGACACTCCTCCATGGATTATTTAAAACAGAATGATAAATACACGGATCGCCATCTGAACAACAGATGAGAAAAAAAACTGTACACCAGTCTAGGCTAATTGGATTATATGATTAGTTCACTATGATAACGTACATCATTGCTTAAATAAACGTTTTATTTGTAGATACTAATTAAAATAAATTGACATAATACGAACCCTAAATTCACTTGAAGTGCGTAGCGGTCTTAGCATGTACTACGCACGACAATGAATTCAACTCTTTAGAGAGAAAAATTAGGATTATAAAAGGTTGTCAACCATTAAGGCTTACTTACTTGTAGATTTACAACATGATATTGGTGAGAATGGAAACAGACAGAGACAATAGCCATGCATAGGTGTTCCTTTATTATAGCAAAGGGATTCACAGTCTTCAATTTCAGTTGGAGAACCAGTGCAAGTTCCTCCACATACAGGATGCCTTTCCATAATCCGTTTTCGTTGTCTTTGACGATTGTTTCCACATTTTGGTTGGCAGGATGACCAATCTCCCCAAGGTCCCCATGTACAATTAACCGAAATGCATGTTTCACAGCATGCCCCAGTGTATGGAGTCGGGCACTGACAACTACTTTCCGAAATAGGTTTTCCGCCATTGAAACAAACTGATTCGCACGGACGGGTAGAGATATTATTTCCTAAACACTTTCCCCTACAGTCACTTGGTTTCTTTAAAAATCTTTTCCTGGACTGAAGCCTATTATTTCCACAAACCGGTAAGCAACTGCCCCAAGAGCTCCATTCTGTCCACTTACAGTCTACTGCTTCACAAGACTCACAGCAATCTCCTGTATAAGGAGTGTGACATTGACATCCGTCGTCTTCAGCCACACCGCCATGATAACACAATGATAAGCATGATTCCTGTTCGAATAAACTAGCCTCACATTCCAATCCACCACATTCAGCTTCACGATCTACTGATCGCGTCCTTGTTCGAGTTCTATTGACACCACAGTTTGGAGAGCACCCCGACCATTGGTTCCACGGTGTCAATTCACAATCTGTGGGAATGCATTTCTCACAGCATTGTCCAGAATATGGCTCTTGGCATAAACAGTAACCATTCATAGGTGTACCGTTATTCTCGCATGTATCGTTACAGCTCATACTGTCTTTACTTGAACCAGGGCAGAGTCCATCACACGTTGCATGAGCAAGAATTGTTCTGATTCGTGTCTTTTGTCGATTCATGCCGCATAGAGGATGACAAGATGTCCATTCTTGCCACTCCTCCCATTTACAATCACTGGGTTGACACGATCCGCAACATTCACCTCTAAACCATGGAAGGCAACCACAGGTATCATTAGTTGGTGTACCCCCATTGAAACAAACTGGTGAACATGTTTGATTCTGAGTTGTTTCTCCAGGACATCCTAACCCACCACACCATTCTGGAGTGAGTATAGTTCTTGTTCGCGTCTGTATTCTCTTAGGTCCACATTCTGGTTCACAATTTGACCAAGCACTCCAGTCAGACCAGACACAATCAATAGCGACACATATTTCACAACAATCTCCTGTATACGATGGTGTGCAGTTACAAACATTGCCATCTGCTGTTCCTCCATGCGAACATATTGGAGGACATAAAGATATTTCTGATGGTTGTGGTCCACATTTTGTTCCACCACATTGTGAGTTTTGTGCAATCAACATTGTTCTAGTTCTATTTCTGACAGCCCCACATTCCGGATTACAAGCCGACCAATATCCCCATGAACTCCATTTGCAATCTACCCGAGCACAATTTTCACAACAATTTCCAGAAAATGGACTTGTACATGAGCAGTATCCATCCATTGGACTCCCGTCATTTTGACAAACCGTATCACACGTCTCTGATTCTTCTGGAAGACCAGAACAGGTACCCCCACATCTTGACTGGCCCTCTAAGATTCGTTGACGAGTCCTATGCCTATTGTTTCCACATGCTGGTTCACAAGTTGACCACTCATTCCAGGATCCCCAACTACAATTAAGTGGCATACATACCTCACAACAAAGACCTGTATAGTCATCTTGACAGACACAATGCCCCTCAGCAGATACTTGGCCGTTATAGCATATAGATTCACAGTCTTTATATTCTGTATTTGAGCCCACACATGCACCACCGCCACACACCGCAGGGTTTAATTCTTCCCTCACCCTCGTTCGTTGACGACTACCACCGCAAGATGGCTCACAAATTGTCCATTCATTCCATTCACTCCACTTACAATCTACCGCATGACAACTTTCACAGCAATCACCACTATATGGCATAACACACTGGCATTGACCAGCAAGAAGGTTGCCGCCATTTAAGCAAATTTGTTCACATTTAAGTTCTTCCGTGATTTTGTCAGAACAAGGTGAACCCCCGCATTGTGCTTCTCGTATGACATTCCGTCTACGTGTCCTATAACCCCCGCAATCAGGAACACACTCTGACCAACTTCCCCACTCACTCAATAGGCAATCCTTGGCCTTACACTCAGAACAGCATTTTCCGCTGTAAGGAGTGTGACAATTGCAAAAACCGTCCATTGGGGCCCCGTTGTTGTAGCAGAACCTATTACACGGTACCGTTGTGCTATGTTGCATGGGTTCGCCTGTACACCAATGACTGAGATAATATGATCGAAGTTTCACGCCACTATTACCGCACTCATGATTGCATTCTCCTTCATGTTTTTCCAAACTGCAGAGAGATTGTATAGGCGAAACTTTTTCGTGTAAAACTAGTAAGCCTAACGTCAGAGATACAATGGCAAGGGCAGTTTCCCCCCACGCCATGTTTTATAAACAATGTTTGAATTCAGCTTATACGTTTATAACCACATACTCTATGGCAATCAACCTGCATAGTAGTTGCGTGCCAAAATATCCGATATCAGGGAAGCGGATACTCAATTTCCGATGACGTAAAAAAAGGCTAACGATGGATGCGGACACAATTCAGAAATACCAATTACTAGGGACTATCGATTACTAGGGACTAGGGAATTACTAGTATAATGTTCTTTTATAATGTTAACTCTTAATCAATTTTGTTTGTCTTATCAGTTCAGCACAAAATGGTCAAACACAACAACCTTACTAAAGGACGTGCCATAGCTATGATACGCTTCTCCTTTCCAGATAAATCAGAATCACTCGTAAGATGCGATTCTTGGACAAGAAAGATGTTTACATAGTTATCTTTTGCCCATTTAAAAATCGCCCTTTGTTTGTGTGTAACTCGTAAACCTCTAACATTTAGAAACAAGCTGTGTAAATTTACGTCGTACCTATTTTGTTTGTTTAGGTTCAAGACCTTGAATATGAGTGTGTTACAAACGAATTTAATAAACACGGGCGCTTTATTTTATTACACATTGAAGTTGGTGGTATTTCATATTTAATAGTTAATGTTTACGCCCCTAATGATTGTAGAAACCTACAAAAACATATTCAAACTTTTTGTGGTACCCATTCGGGCATACACATTGTCATGGGTGGGGATATGAATTGTATACAAAATGCAAGAACAAAACGGGTAGAAAAAGGAGAAGCAGAATCGAAAAAAATAATGGCAAGGAAAAGCAATTAAACAAAATCAGAAGGTCCAATGGAACACTTACACAAAGTTCGAGTGAAACCTTGACCTAAGGAGTTAATACTTTGAGAAACTATACTCAAACCAAAAAAAAAAAAAAATAATGAAAATGTTAAAAAATATTTAGATAAAAAAAATATTAAAAAAAATAACCCGTCTTGAAAAAGTGTCATGTGAAGGAGAGCTACATTTAAACGAGTGTGAAATTACTATGTATGAAGAAAAACAAAGGAACAGATGGCCTTACGGTTGAGTTTTATATACTAAAGCTCTATTTTTCTATTTTAAGTGCTTTAGCTCAGCTCAATGATTGTATTGCGCATCACCCGGTATATTATGACGATGTCATCAACCAACAAATATGGGGTAATAAAATGATCACATGTAATGGTTTCTCGTTAATGTACAGAAACTGGATTAGGTCCGGTATTAACACAATAAAAGATGTAGTAACTATCAACAGGTTATGTAATACAACTGAGTTACTTACAAAGCTGAAAGAAAAACTAACTGGGTATCTAAATTTTCTTACCTACTTAAAGCAATTCCACAAAAATGGAAGAATATTGTTCATTTGAAAAATGTAAATAAAAAAAATAATTAAACCTTTACGAAATTGGTGCAATATGAATATATCAATTATTATTAGAAAAAGATGGCTAGAACCTCTACGGTGCCAAACAAAATGGCATCAGTATTTTAATACTCGAATTGACTGGATGTTAACATGGCAAAGGAAAGTTAAAAACATTAGGAAAAACAAACTTTAAATTATTACATAATTTAGTTCCAACAAAAAAACAAAAAGGCTCACACATGAAAGATAAATGACACAAATAAATGTAACAGTGTAAAGTGACTGAAGATGAAGTGTTGGAGTTAAATCCTGTGTCACATGAACTGTTGATTATTTCTGAGTTACCGACACTTTTCCAAGGATTATTCAAAAGAGAATGATATAGATACATGGATCGCCATCTGAACAACAGATGAGAATAAAACAGTATACCAACATTTAGGCTAATTGAGTTATATGATTAGTTCACTATGATAATGTACATCGTTGCTTAATTAAACATTTTATTTGTAGATACTAATGAAAATAAATTGACTTAATACGAAGCAACTGCCCCAAGAGCTCCATTCTGTCCACTTACAGTCTACTGCTTCACAAGACTCACAGCAATCTCCTATAGAAGGAGTGTGACCTTGACATCCGTCGTCTTCAGCCACACCGCCATGATAACACAATGATAAGCATGATTCCTGTTCGAATAAACTAGCCTCACATTCCAATCCACCACATTCAGCTTCACGATCTACTGATCGCGTTCTTTTTCGAGTTCTATTGACACCACAGTTTGGAGAGCACCCCGACCATTGGTTCCACGGTGTCAATTCACAATCTGTGGGAATGAATTTCTCACAGCATTGTCCAGAATATGGCACTTGGCATAAACAGTAACAATTCAAAGGTGTACCGTTATTCTCGCATGCATCGTTACAGCTCATACTGTCTTTACTTGAACCAGGGCATAGTCCATCACACGTTGCATGAGCTAGAATTGTTCTAATTCTTGTCTTTTGTCGATTCATGCCGCATAGAGGATGACAAGATGTCCATTCTTGCCACTCCTCCCATTTACAATCACTGGGCTGACACGATCCGCAACATTCACCTCTAAACCATGGAAGTTGGTGTACCCCATTGAAGCAAACTGGTGAACATGTTTGATTCTGAGTTGTTTCTCCAGAACATCCTAATCCACCACACCATTCTGGAGTCAGTTTGGTTCTTGTTCGCGTCTGTAATCTCTTAGGTCCACATTCTGGTTTACAATTTGACCAAGCACTCCAGTCAGACCACCGCAAGATGGTTCGCAAAAAATTGTACATTGAGCGTGAAAGAAAAATTTAACTGGGTATCTGAATTTTCTTACCAAATTAAAGCAATTCCTAAACAATGGATGGATATCATTCATTTGAAAAATGTAGATAAAAAAATAATTAAACCTTTACAAATTTGCTGCAATATGAATAGCAATCAAATATATTAATTATATTCGAAAAAGATGGCTAGAACATGTACCGTGCCAAACAAAATGGCATCGATATTTTATACTCGAATTGACTGGATGTCAACATGGCAAAGGAAAGTTTAAAACATTAGGAAAAACAAACTTAAACAATAAGACTTTTAATTATTACATAATTTAGTTCCCACAAAAAAAAAATGCTCACACATGGAAGATAACTGACACAGATAAATGTGAACAGGGTAAAGTGACTGATAATGAAAAAGAGCATATTATTTCGTTGCACCGAAGCAAGCTTGCTATGGAACTATATACATAGTATAAGCACTAATAGGTTTGGAATTGAGGCTAGTTTTAAAAACATTACTATATGTACAGGGAACCTTGCTGTTGACTAGTTATTTTCAATTGGTATATATTGTATTTATAAAGAAAACGTTTTAAAAAAAATCTTAACAAGTGGAAGCATAGATCCTCATTAAACTTTTTATTACAGAGAAAATATGAGAAATTGGTTTTTATAAGTTACAATATTGACATTTTTATATGAAAAAAATGTACTGTACGCTCTTTATGTCATAATTATATTTTTTATGTCATGTAAATTACTTGTGTCAACTTCAAATACTATGAGCGATGCATGCTCTGTCTATTTGAATGATGTTCAAAAGTAACGAATAAAAGTGGGATGAACCCACTAAAGAGAGAAAACAGTGACCTGTGCTTTAGCAAATAATAACAATAACAACAACAACAACATAACAGTATATTTTAAGGTTTTGTGTCCACTTTTCCAAGTTGGTATTCATTGATTTGTTTTTCCCGCCACGGCGCCACACCACAACGGAATCGTTACTAACACCTCTGTTTGCACGACTGCAGCAGAGTCTTTAAATACCTAAAATATTATGTTCATTACTTAAGATCTAGAGCCAAGGTAAAGCGTAAATTTTCAAAAGCACCGACACTTTATTATTAGCATCGTTAGTTATGTTTAACAACTTACTCGACCCTAATCCTGGCTTAACCGATGACGACAGCTCTTGGAAAGGACAGAAGAGAACAATAAAATTGGTCTCTGTGTTGCTGTCTAATTGTCGAAGCAATAAAAAAATATCTTTAGTCCTCCCTATTACGAAACCAAACTTCCTGGTCTTAATGTTGTTTGCTTAACAGAAACCTGGTTAAACCCTAATTACGATTCTCATATGCTGCATTTTTCAAATTCATTTTAAATATTCGTGGATCCACTACACATGGGGAGGAATATTGATTGGCATCGATTGTTTACTTAATCCAGAACTTGTTGAATCTAAAGTAGATATCGAAATGAATGACGTTGAACAACAAGTCCCACCTGTTTTGCCTTGTCTGTAGGCCTCCGAGTAAACCTGTTATATTCTATAATCGTTTTTAATATGCCATAATATGCGACAAGAACATACATTCCATTTTGTTGTAAAACAAATCGGTTTCTGAATTCTGCTATCCCTTCTATTGTTAATCTGTTAAATGATGGTAATATTTAATTCACTTGCATTTAATGTAATTAATCCAGATTGCGTTTATAAATTAGGCCTTATTTTGTGGATGTTTATTTCAATTTTGATGTTGTTTGTAAATTTTTAATGGCTTGATGTGTATTTTTATATTGTTATATTTATATATTTTTCTACTTTTTGGACATTTTTTTTTCCATTTTTGTAATACAAACATATTTAGCTCTTTGCTATTGTTTTGTAATATTTTTTATACCGTAATAAATAAATAAAATAAAAATTATCTCTGTATTAATCTGTTGTAATATTGGGAGACTCCTGACAATGTTGTTGATTTAATGAACATGTTCGGTTTCCATCAACTTCTTAACGAATGGATGGATTTATTCGGTGTAAATACCAAGGATAACCCACGAAAGTTTAAAGAAGACTTATTTCCAGCCTGGGGTCCTTCTGCATGGTGATTGGGCAGTACACCGGGAGACAATCGCCTACTCTTTTCCGAATAGTGTATACGTGCTTTAACGTGCACACGGGCCATAATGCACACTGGACCAACGGCTTAAACGTCTCTTGCTGGAGTAACTTGCACTTCAGCCCTGCAGTTTAAACACAAGGAAAGCAGCGATGGGAATTCAATCAATAGGGGTGGAGCTTATCCCCAGTTTCTGTAGTGTGAAGCGGATGAGAGTTGTACTCCCCCTGGACGGGAAACTAGTCCATCGCAGGTTAGTCCCCAGCAGTTTGCTGGTACCATTGACAGCTGGGTGGACTGAAACAATGTAGCTAAAGTGCCTTGCCCAAGGACACAAGCGAATCTGCACAGCGGAGACTCGAAACCTCGACCTTACGATTGAAAGCCCAAATTTTCAACCGCTGCGCCAAACTACCGCTGTATATACCAATATTTGGAATACCAATTTCATTGTTCCCTGGGAATACGGACTACATGCATGGAGTCCTCAGTGTCAAGATTCATGTAAATCGTCTTGATAAAGTAGAACAGAGAGTCTCCAAGAGGCTTTCTCTTATAGACAGACGACTCATTACTTTGATTTTATTTGCTTTCCGTTGTTTCTACAAAGATAACATGATTCAATAGCATAATTACACGATGCAATAGTATAATTACACGATGCAATAGTATAATTAATAATATTTCTGTAAATCCCCGACACTTAGAGACCTTAACTTTTATTCATCCAGCTTATTTTACAAATGCTTTTAAATTTTCATCAGTTAATAACTTTCTAATTCAGTTTGCTTCACTGCCCTCCGAAATCAAGGATTCTGATTACATGTCCCTTTAAATCTTTTATTTGGAAATATTATTGAATGAACGGTAATTTAAAAAAAAGTATTAATTTGCTTCCGTTTTTTTTCATTATAATTATTTATTTATTTATTTATTTATTATATTTTACTCCTTTATTTTGTAGTTTCGTAATTGTATGTTGTGCTTGGTCTTTTTGCTGATTTAAGATTAATCTTACTTTGAAATTCTAAAGTGTGTAATTTTACTTTATTATATATTTCTTTTAAAATTAATTACAGTATCTCTGGATTGTATATTCCCAATGCTTTTTTATTTAATGTTTAATGCTTGCATTATTTGAATATTGAATAATTTCTTGTAATTGAATAGGCCTAATAGGTTTTAATGTGTAATTGTACTTTTTTTATATATTACTATTTTTTAATTAATTTTCACTGTATTGTATACATTTTTTGAATTTTTTTTTGAAAATGTTTCCTTAAATAATTGCTCGTACAGATTTTGATAATTGTAAATACCTTTTATATTTTAGGGGCTGCGGGCACCACTTGTGGTATTATGGTGCTATGTTGCTGACGCAGCCCCTGGGCCGTTAGTGCCAATAAAATAAATGAAATTAAAAAATGAAAAAAAAAATTGTAGACCTACCGTACCTTTTCAGGACCCATGAGCTGAAATTGTTTTTGTTACGAAGTTTTTGTTGTGAACTCGGGAAAGCCATCTAGGAATCAGAATTTCCCCCGGGGGAGAACCCCATCCCCTCACCTCCTCGTTCTCTTTGGCAGGGGAGGATTTAGGGGGTCTCTTATACACATCTAGATGTGTATAAGAGACAGTTGTTTTGGGAGGTATAAAGAAAAAAGACAAAAATAAAAGGAAAAACATAAGCCCAGAACGCCTCAAATGTTATTTTCGGGCGTCTAGAACACAAAAATTTCGCGGACCCCCTAGGACATTGTTGTTTCGATAGGCCCAACTTCAGGCCCCCGTTCGGCCCCTCTTTTAGATATCTCTGGATCCGCCCCTGTTTGGGGTTCATCGCTTCATGGAAAAAGGAATACGTGTGCAACTACTCATTTTTTTTATGTATGTATATGCACACATAATAGGTGTATTTACTTATAAATATCATATTTATTTATGTAATAAGAATGAGAAAGCTTACCTGACCGTTTGCAAGAGGGGAACCTTCAATTTTGAAGTACTTAAAAGTCATTAGAAGACACCTCAGAAGTCGGGAAAGCTCATTTCCCGCTATCTAGGAATAAACATTTTCCAGGGAAGGACCCCCGGACCCCCTTTATTTTGGGGGGTTTTAAAAACATTTTGACTCCCCCCCCCCACCCACCTACTCTTTCTCTAAATCTGAATCAAGATCCGCCCCTGCATGCCAGTGCTGGCGCCAGCGGAGGGTCAGGGAGGGCATTTCCCTCTCCCTATTATATTATAGATATGCTTCTACATTTTATTATTATTAGCCTTAAATTGTAGAAATTTTCGGGGACTTCCTCCCCTGGACCACTTTCGAAGCCTTTTAATCGAAGCTCGACTGACGCCACATTGCCTGTCTCTTATACACATCTAGATGTGTATAAGAGACAGCTTGCACTTCAGCCCTCTGCTCTATGGTAACACAATGATCGCATCGCGTTCGAATGATTTCTAAATAGGCCTATTCAATGTCGCAATTCTTGCCGGTGGTTGGCCTATCCAGAATTATTATCCAGAATTTTCAAGGCTATTTACATTAGTTTCTCCTAAATTGTCGTAGTTTCCTGGGTTTCTTCCGTAGAGCACTTACAAGAGAATTGAGCGACGCCCCATCTATTTGTACCATGGACCTATTAATAAGATAGGTCCATGTTTGTACCTTTTATGACATACTTCTACACACGCTCGAGCTTGTACGTTCGAGCATAGTTTGTAGCAGCCGCGCTCGAGTTGATACCGCGCTCGAGTCGATACGCTTGAGTTGGTATCGTGGCCATGCGTCTGTGGTCTGTGTGTGAGTTCGGGGATAGCTTGTTATTGTGTGATGATAACTTGAAATTATCTTACAGATACATGTTGGCTGTTGAATGTCTTCTGTTGCATATGATGTTGTTTTTGATGGATACGACCCCAACAAGGCTCCCAAATGTCCCCATGGTATGATTATATTTGTAAAGTCAATTGAATTTGGCTAGGCCTACGCAACCATAGATTAAAGAGGGCCGGGAAGGCCTGCCTGAGTCTTGACCATTCTCTCTTGTTTGCTAGCTAGCTAGGCATATAGGCCTAGTAGTAGTTGTGCCCGTGTATATATTTAGACCTGGCCTAGCTCTGATTGAGATAGGCCTTGCAGGGCCAAGGGGTTACTTCATATCTTAGTACTACTTATAGAATAGTAATATCATTTTTAATTTATGATTGTTGCCCTACCTGGCTAGACCTAGATTGTTTATAAATTCTAGTTGTACTGTAGGTAGTAGCAGTAGGCTAGACTAGTATGGACTAGGCTACTTTACAATTTTATTTTCTTTTTCCGATTTTTATAAATTACTTAACCTTTCTTTGCCAGGTGACCCCTGGTCTTAATGAGAGCCTCCCAGATCCTACAATAAAATCTCAATTTTCTCCTATAATTATTTACTAGTAGTATCGATCTATCTGTCCACAACAAGGGCTGTATGTACTAGTACACCGGGGTAACTCCCCTTCTCGTCTCAAAAGATGATACTGGGTACTATATATTTCACATGAGCCAATTTAATTTGTACACTGGGCCTACAGTGTATAGTCCTTATTTGAGAAGACTTGTTCCACCTCCAGAACCATAGGTGAGCGTGTCGTTATTATGTCTGTATGTTGCAGCGCCCCTGCCTTCAACCGCATGGCCATTCAACTCACCCCTAAAATGTATATTTAAGTAAATAAAATCATAGGTAAATAAATATCACCTAAAACCTACAGATAAATTATGCACACTGATGCCACAGTGGAAGGGGAGGGGATCCTTGTATGTATCTATTTAGATTCAGAATAATTTAGATGATTTGATTAAATTGTTTTGTGATTTCAGGGGTCCAAAGTTGGAAGAAACCACATCTGGGAGATCTGTTTAAAGGAGTTTTCTTAACATATCTAATAATTATATTTTGCTATAGATGGAGAAACCCATTGTACTGAATTCCAGGAGAAGATTGATATGATAGAGTTAGTAAAAACTTGTAAAAATATGCAAATATTGTGAATTTTCCTGGATATTCTTGCTATTACAGTATGTCTTCTTGTTTACTGTACTGGATTATTCGTTTTTAATTTGTTAATTTAATTTTGCTTTGGTCCAGATCCAGATGTTAGTATTGTTGTTGGGGGACTTGATTTGTGTTTTGTTTTTTCCTCAACCTGAAGGTTCTATAAGCAAAATTAAGAAGTTTTCAATTTGTTTTTCCATCATTAAATATATAATATAAACTATATATCCTAAATGGAAAGAAGACCATACAAGAGTATGGCTAATATTAAAATTTTGCCACCTTAAAAAAATATGTCTAGTTGACAATATAAAAGCAAGATAAACAAGGACAAGACAGGATGCAAAGAATAATAATATGTAGTAATAATAATAATAATAATAATAATAATAATAATAATAATAATAATAATAATAATAATAATAATGTAACCAACTAAAAGTGCATTAGACAGGCATGCATGTTAGCAATATAGTAAATAATCTAATTGTGAAAATAATTTTTTTTCCATCCAGTCTGGTCGGTGTACTGATGCTGATAGTGGGGCCTACTGTTACATATCAAGCCCCTTTATTATTGATAAAAATCCAATTAATGTTTTTTGCATTTTAAATTTTTTTTTTCAGGACCTGCATTACTGTTTGAAAGATTTTGTGCAGATACTGGCACCTTCTTTAGATTTTTTGCATGCTCAGCCAACCGTGACCGTAGACACTGCAAATTTTACCAGGTTGCTGACGAGCCAGTTCCAGAGGAAAAGGTTAAAAAGAGGAAGATATTCAATGCGGACCAGCAGCCTAAATATGACCATTTAGAATCTGTTAAAAGGTATTTTAATTGTTTATTGTGTATTTTTTCCAACATGTTTCTATCTGTTGGTTGCAGACAATAGCATTTTAAGAGAATTTTAGTTGGCTTACATTTAATGAATTTATCCTTTAACATTCATTGTCTTTCATGTCAGTGCATGACCTCATCTATTTACATATCTAGGCATCTGCTGGTTTTTTTTTTTTTAAGTTCTTCATTTGGTTTAACAACTAGACAAGACTTTTGTTATACTTTGTTTAACAAATCCTCCAACTGCCAAGAATGGTAATTTTGAATACAAATGAAATTTTATTTTTGGCCAGTTTTAGCACACCCTCTGCCTTTGTCATAGAAAAATTAACTTTATGTTATTTTTATTACATCCTCCACTACCCTGAAATCTCCAAAAATTAAATATATGTATTTCTTCTTTATTATATAAATTTTAAGTATTTATCAATCTCATTTAAACTACACTGTGTCATTAATAATATTTTATTTTATTTTCTACTCCAACAGTCAAGGTATAAAAAAAGTCTTGCCCTAAGTTGATTAATTGATTACTTGATTAGTTGCTAGCATAATTGAATACTTTTTTGATAGATTGATTAATTGGTATATTAAACTATCAATGATTTAACTTCCATTAAACAGGTTTAAATTGCTTCATCAGCTGCCTGAAAAACAGAGGATATTCTGCAAGTCATGCTACAAACTGATGCTTCCAGCAGAAAAGTTGAAACACAACAGTAAACATGACTTACAAGTAGGACTTACGTCAGATCAACTTTGCAGACCTAGCCAACTACTTTCACCCTTGGAGAATAACTCAACTAATGCTGTGAGTTTGTTATCCTCGCCCAGGAAAGTAACTATATCGTAACTCCCATTTTGTCGTGTCCAAGCCCACCACCAAAACTCTGGTTTTTTATTTCTGCGTATTATGCAAAAATACGAAGTTGGAAAGCTCACTATATATTTTCTTTGTCTACATTGGAAATTGGAGTATTTTTGAGCTGGCCGCAAAATCTCTGACTTTGGAGTTTTTGCGTATCATACGCAGAAACTCTGAACCGGTTTGGTAGTGGGCACTGACACTTCAAAATGGGAGTAACTATATACATGCATTGGCAGTTATTCTGTAAGTTCTGGTAACCACTTCATTGTAAACTTTTAGCTATTGTTTGTGTACTGACCAGTAGAGATCTTTAGATAGCTTTGGTCCCGTTTTAATAGACCTTTCCTGAGTGTCAATCAAACTAAACAACTAAACAACTAACCAATCAGAACAGTGCCAGGAATATGTTTTAACAATCTCGTTTGTGGGAGCTTGGCAACAATATCCAAGGGGTGGGGTTTAGCGGAAAGGTCACTTCCATCGCTGCCCTCCTTGTGTTTTAGCTGGATAGCTGAAGTGCCACTTTCAGTAGCACACCATCTTCTGTATTAGAAGAGATGTTTTTAAGCAGTCGGTCCTGTGTGCAATATGGCCCATGTTCACGTTAAAGAATGCTGTACATTCTTCGGAAACCGTATGGGGATTTTTTTTTCCAGTGTACTGCCCAAATTCACCACCAGATGACCCAACTAAAAATAATTTTCCAAGATACAGGATTTATTTATTGATTTGTCCATAAAAATACTAATGTATATAATTTTTTTGTGTGTTTAATACACACATTGCCAAGTACAATTTAGATTATATTAAAATATTAAGTAATACACCAAATGTACTTTAAAATCATCAGTGTTAAAAAGACATTATGAATCATAGTTAAAATTATAAGAGGTCCTAATGTAAAAAGGACAATCATAAAAAAGTTCAAAAGAGACAACAACAATAATTTAATGGATAGTCCACAAGATGTGCCTCAAAACTGAAGAAATTCTGTTTAATTCATATGATGCTGACTTTTTTTTCTATGTGTTATTTGTTTGGTAATAATAGAATTAAATGACAAGTGAGTAGGATAAAAATAATCAAACAATCAATCGTAAAAATGTATAATTGGTGCCTGCCAGAATCAACTGCAAGCAGTGTTAAATAGCACAAACTACTTGGGGCTACATGTCTCTTGAGAGATAAAACTTGTAAATGTAATCATTAGTTACACTAGCATAATTTCTATATTTATTTGCTATTCATCTCTATTTATATGTCTTTTCAGCAATATTTGTTTTCTGAAAAAGCAACAAAATTCATCCTAGATACCATACAACACATGAGATATGACAGAGTTCTATGTGTTGGTGCTCCACGGTAAATACCATTTTTGCTCTCCCAGGAGGCTACTTTTTTTTTCTCTTTTGTGGGGTCGTCCCACTTTTATTTGTTCCATGATTTCTTTGAACATAAATATTGTTTTGTTACTATTGACATATTTATCACTTATTAAAATTAGTACTATTATTCTATTTCCTTTATACATTAATTTTTTCCATTTCTAAACATTATACAATTAATACAATAATTTAATTACTCCTCCCATCAAACAATCAATGCAACAAAGCATAATCACCCAACAGTCAAGAAAGTATGATAGTAATAATGATATTAATAATGGTGACGATGATGATAATAACAACAATAACAATAGGAGGCTACTTAATGAGGCTAATTGTAGGCCCATAAAAATATTTCTTGCCTTGATTTTTCTCACTTTGATCATTTTTTCTCTTTCTGTTTATGATTTCATAGAAAGCAATAATTATTACTGACTTGCTTTACTTGTTTGTAATCACAAAATGTTAATGCACTACTTTTCAATTCTTAAATTTAACTTTATTATTCTGTTCTGAACTCAAAATTTATTGAGCTAAACCAATCTTCGATTATTTGTATTTTTACCAACATTAATTTTTAATTTGGTAGGTTGTATAGTATCAGTATCGACTGTATGTTTTTATAAACCTTGAGAAGCATATTTCATACCCAATGTAATTGACTGTGAATTATTCGTGACCTTGTATGGTATCCCAGGGGTCCAAATTTCGTAACTAGCATTTTCAGAGAAATCTGGTTTATATCTATTATGTGATGTTACCCATGGCCAATTAACTTTTATCCATGGCCAAATAACTTCAGGAAGACAATAATAATGTACTAAGAGCATGCAAACATTTTGAATTGGTAGGATGTGGGTTAGTTTGCGGGCGATTTTGCCTGCTCACAAAAATGTTAATAACCGTTCTGAGATTTCCCAGGGACTTCTGCGACTCGTGGGAGTTTCCTGACCCCTAGGAATTTTGCAACTTATCTGATTATTCTCACACCTGGTGGGATATTGATTGAATACAATGTTGCACTTATAATAACAGGGGCGGATTTAGGGGGGGGCCGCCCCCCCCCCTTTTGGGAGGTAAAAAAAAAAAGAAAAAAGAAAGAAAAAAAGGAAGGAAAAGAAAAAAATGATAGCCCAGAACGCCTCAAATGTTATTTTCGGGCGTCTAGAACACCAAAATTTCGCGGGGGAATATGGACCCCCTAGGGCATTGTTGTTTCTTTTGGCCCCCCGCTTTTGGACATCTCTGGATCCGCCCCTGAATAATCTGTAACATGATAATATAATTAAAATATAATTAGAAACTACCACTAAAAAACTACCACTAAACTACAGTATAATATCTAAAAAACTTTAAAAACTATTACTAAAAATACATTAAAATTACTACTATAATAGAAATGGTCATTGATCGACGTGGTTACTCAACCAGAAGGTCTGATTCACGAAATGGTATGCCACCAGTTACAAACTGCAGCGCTATGGAAAGTTCCTTTGAAATTGTTGGAGCTAAAGTCTGGAACAATATACCATTTTTGTTTCAAGAATCAGCTAATATAAATAGTTTTAAATCACAATATAAAAAGGATTTTTTTTTGATGGATGGATATATTTTAATGCTTAGGCCTTGCTCTGTATGTAACTGTTTTGATTGGTAATTTTTCTTGTAAATTCCAAAAATTGCAATTACTGTACAGTAATTATAAACTACCACTACTACTATATAATATAAAAAAAAATTAAAACTATTATTAAATAATACATAATAAAATTATAACAAATATATATATATATATACACACACATATACATATATATATATATATTTCCTGTTAGAATTAGAACCAATAAAGAATGATTGTTTTTATTATTACGTTCCATAATAGTTATTAATATTAAGTATAGAGGGGCATTTAAACATTTAAAATTCAAAAGAATTAATTGTTCTTTCCATCTTAAATTGAGTTTTCTCCAGTAAGGCAACGTACAATAAAATCATTAGAGGTCTTATTATCAACAGAAAGTAAAATTTTACCTAACCTATTCATAAAGACTTGAAGACAATAGTGTTTTGAATACTGTACTACATTTAGACCAGACACAATAATCAGAGAGAACATTATAGAGGGGCATTTAAACATTTAAAATTCAAAAGAATTAATTGTTCTTTCCATCTTAAATTGAGTTTTCTCCAGTAAGGCAACGTACAATAAAATCATTAGAGGTCTTATTATCAACAGAAAGTAAAATTTTACCTAACCTATTCATAAAGACTTGAAGACAATAGTGTTTTGAATACTGTACTACAATTAGACCAGACACAATAATCTGAGAGAACATTTTAGGTGTGTGTAAAAAAGCATTTGTGGCAAAGGCAAGCCAAATCTGTCGCTCGTCGCAAATCCTGTTTCAGAAATAATGGCCAAAACACGCTGGAATGTCAAAATTTTCCAAAATCTATGTTATTGCACTAAACTAACCTTTATATCTATACAGTACATCATGCTGTGCTGTTATTTTCCCCATTTTCAATGTTAAAAAACAGCAATTTTTTACGATTTGGTGATGGTTTCTGCCTGAGAAATGCCCAATATCATAAACTTTGAAATAATTGTTCTTTAAACAGCTGTATATTTAAACTCTTATAACTTCATAACAAAATGTCGGATTTAAATGATTCTTTTACCATTTTATAACTCTCATTTTACTGTTTAACTCTATATTATTAACTGAAAAAAATCATTTTTAGTGACGAGTGACTGGTTTGGCTTGTCTTTGTCACATTTGCTTCTGCTGTTCCTCTTGCCAGTCGATAGCCCAGCACGCCTCAAATGTTATTTTCGGGCGTCTAGAACACCAAAATTTCGCGGGGGAATATGGACCCCCTAGGGCATTGTTGTTTCTTTTGGCCCCCCGCTTTTGGACATCTCTGGATCCGCCCCTGAATAATCTGTAACATGATAATATAATTAAAATATAATTAGAAACTACCACTAAAATACTACCACTAAACTACAGTATAATATCTAAAAAAGTTTAAAAACTATTACTAAAAATACATTAAAATTGCTACTATAATAGAAATGGTCATTGATCGACGTGGTTACTTAACCAGAATGCCACCAGTTCCGAACTGCAGCGCTATGGAAAGTACCTTTGAAATTGCTGGAGCTAAAGTCTAGAGTAATATACCATTTTTGTTTCAAGAATCAGCTAATATAAATAGTTTTAAATCACAATATAAAAAGGATTTTTTTTTTATGGATGGATATATTTTAATGCTTAGGCCTTGCTACGTATTTAACTGTTTTGATTGGTAATTTTTCTTGTAAATTCCAAAAATTGCAATTACTGTACAGTAATTATAAACTACCACTACTACTATATAATATAAAAAAAAATTAAAACTATTATTAAATAATACATAATAAAATTATAACAAATATATATATATATATACACACACATATACATATATATATATATATTTCCTGTTAGAATTAGAACCAATAAAGAATGATTGTTTTTATTATTATGTTCCATAATAGTTAGAGTAGATCCAATTGGCAATAGTTATTAATATTAAGTATAGAGGGGCATTTAAACATTTAAAATTCAAAAGAATTAATTGTTCTTTCCATCTTAAATTGAGTTTTCTCCAGTAAGGCAACGTACAATAAAATCATTAGATGTCTTATTATCAACAGAAAGTAAAATTTTACCTAACCTATTCATAAAGACTTGAAGGCAATAGTGTTTTGAATACTGTACTACAATTAGACCAGACACAATAATCAGAGAGAAAATTTTAGGTGTGTGTAAAAAAGCATTTGTGGCAAAGGCAAGCCAAATCAGTCGCTTGTCGCAAATCCTGTTTCAGAGATAATGGCCAAAACATGCTGGAATGTCAAAATTTTTCAAAATCTATGTTATTGCACTAAACTAACCTTTATATCTATACAGTACATCATGCTATGCTGTTATTTTCCCCATTTTCAATGTTAAAAAACAGCAATTTTTTACGATTTGGTGATGGTTTCTGCCTGAGAAATGCCCAATATCATAAACTTTGAAATAATTGTTCTTTAAACAGCTGTATATTTAAACTCTTATAACTTCATAACAAAATGTCGGATTTAAATGATTCTTTTACCATTTTATAACTCTCATTTTACTGTTTAACTCTATATTATTAACTGAAAAAAATCATTTTTAGTGACGAGTGACTGGTTTGGCTTGTCTTTGTCACATTTGCTTCTGCTGTTCCTCTTGCCAGTCTGTGCATTATGTTTTGCATGTCGTGAGTAATAAATTGTACTTGAACCTTTTAAGATCAACATGGTTGGTTTTTTCAGAATACATGAAGCTATACAGAATGACGGAGGACACAAGTTAGACAGTTTGTTGTTAGATATTGACCATCGATATGTAAGTACACGGTGTACCCATGATCCTATGGCGTATCTAGGGG